CCGCCGCGCTCTACCCCAGTCCCGGCTTACAACCTCCACCGGGGCCCTTCGGCGCGGTGGCCGCAGCCTCGCATTTGGGAGGCCATTACCACTAGACGGGGCGGCGGGGTGCTGCGCAGCCTCTCCCACTCGCCCAGAGCCTTGCCCAGACCTGTCCACAGCCCAAAGAGGGAGCCCGGAGCTTTCCCCGACGCTCCTTGAACCAGATTTGACTCCACCTGCAGCACCAGCTCCGGGCTGGGGGAAGGATTCCGAAGCCTCCTCGTCCTCCTTAAATGATAGATTTGCCCCTCCTCACCCCTTGTCCCCGACTGTGACCCTCCTTTTAATTTTTCTCTTCTAGGTCTCTAGATCCTAAAAAGCCTGAGCCCCTTGTCTTTTTCTCTCCTCTACCAGCACCTCTGGTTCCTAGAAGCCCCCTTCATCACCACCCCCCTTTTAAGTTCCAAATCTTCTGTTTTTCTCTTCCCCACGGAGCTGCCTCATCCCAGCACCTGGAGGCCTTTTACATTCCTTCTTCCCCGACCCGGGCAAAAAGGTTGGTAAAGTCCACTATCCCCAAGACTTGTGGTTCCCGTTCCTTCTGAGCCCACATCTGGCTGAAGGGGGCCCAGTGTGTTTCTATTTCCTTCCAGCCCCCATTAAAGCTCCCAAGCTCCCTGCTGCCTCCTTTCTCTGTTCTTTGCTCCACCAGGACCCTTCAATCAGGGGGAAAGAAGGGAGAGGCTCAGCCCAGGCCAGAGCAGAAAGGCCTCCAATGAAGAGCTCAGCAGCCTGGGTGCTGCTGACTGGGAGCGAGGAGCTGCTGGGTGGTGGGCCCTTTCTGCACCCTCCACCTCTCACCCTGCTTTTCACTCACCCCATCCCACCCCAACTTCCACACATTCCACATTCCCCCCTCTCACCTAGCCTCCATCCTACCTTGTCTTATCTCCATCCTATCTCAACCTTCCACCAGCCCCTCCATCCCATCCCCTTCCCACATTCATAACTTTCCCTGCCTCCCTCTCCCACCATCCCATCTTATCCATCTCTCCCCCAACCTTCTTTCATTCCCCCTTACAGACCACTCGCTGCCCCCAATAGCTGTGGCTATCTTTTCTCTGGATCCGCCTCCTCGGTTTTTTGTTTTGTTTTGTTTAGAAGAGCTCTCACTATCACCAGCTCCTGCGCTAGCTGCCAGAGCTTGCTGGGGACCTCTCCTTCTCGCGGGTGGTGCGCGCCCTCTGCTGGTCAGAGGAGGGTAGGGTGGGCCAGCACGACACCTAAACTTGTGAAAGCTTTGGGCGCCACGTGGTGGAACCTCTGGTGCTTGTCCAGGCTGAGAACAAGAGGACCAGGTTGGCCCCAGACTTCCTTCAGACTTCAGAGAAGAGGGTGAAAAGAGGAATCCTGACCCTCATCACAGATCCTACCTTGGGAAGTCCGGGAAGCGGGTCGAGTGGATCGTTCTGGCTAGGAGGCTCTTCTGAATACTGTGCCCAATGGCCTGCCGTCCTTATGCTCTTTTCTCAGCTTTTCCAAAACTTATTGGCTGGGAAGTGGCCTTAAATGCCTTCCCTTGGAGGAAAGCAACCCTGAGGAAGGCTCCTGAAGTGATGCCAGGCTTTAAAGCTGCACCCTAAGGAGATCACCTGGTTCCCCCTTCAGGGTCCTGGTATTTCTTTCCCAGGGTCATGTCTCTTCTGGGAAGGAAGGCTCCTGGTAGGTGGGAGAATGCCTTGTGGAGCCTCCACAAGGCAGTTGAGATTTCCATGTGGAAAAGGAAATGCAGATGAAAGGTTGGACAATTAGAATTGTGGGTTGGGCCTGATGCCCCTTCCCAGAGAGACAATCAATCACCCATGTCCACCTAGGGAGAGAGCCTTTATCCATGTTCATTTTATTTTTCACTTCATCTTCATGGTTTTCCACATAACACATAGTTAATATAGAAATTTTGAAAAATATTTATGTAAGATCTGTTAAATATTGGTTGGTTGAAGAATGTAATGAATCATGGGGGAAATTGCCTACAGTCTCCTTACAGAGGCCGCTATTGATAACTGCCATATCTCCTTCCTCTTCTCTATGCCTTTTTAAATGCAATGACATTCTGCTTTCCTCATCTCACATTCTGGTTTAAGCAGGATCCCTGCTATTATGTCCTATAGGCCCCAGGGGGTAGGGTATAGGACAGAAAACCAGAAAACCTACGTTCCAGTTGCAGCTTGGTGACTACCTTGTTATGTGACCTTCAGAAGATCATATCTCTTTTCTGTGGCTCCATTCTCATCTCATTAAAATAATGAAGCTGAACCAGAGATTTGCAAGCTCTACTCTATAAAATCTCAGAAGCCACCTCTGTTCCAAACAAAAATAAAACAAACAAAACTGTTTTTCAAGGGTTGGAAATTATCTGTTCAAGGTGATCAATTAGGTCAAATTTGGCTTCAACATCCTAAAGATGGCTATCCTTCTCCCCAGGCTGCCTTAGCTCTGGAAGCTCCCCTGCTCCTCTGATGGTGTCTGAGCCCTAAGTCTGTGGTCTTGACCCAAGCCTTAAAGAAGGCTTACCACATGCAGCTTCTTACAATCCAGGCCTGTCATCACTGAGAACCCCTTGGTCCTTGGCCCTTCAAAGTATTGATTCCACCATTGCTTCCTGTCCCCATTCAAGGTCCAGCCCCTTTTGCATACCCTGAAGTTCTCAGTCTTTTGTCTATCACCTCATTCAGGTCACTGTTGAAAATATGGCTCACTTCCCTGCCCCCAACCATAGATCTGCACTACATATTTTTCAGAATGTTTTTAAATCCATTGTTTTATTGTTCCCCTCCAAGTTTAGGGAGGAAGACTGAGCAGTACAACTCTATCCACTTGGAGGTTAATTAAACCAAGGCCCATGATGTTAAATAACTTGGCCATAGTCTCAAGGCTTGTTCTAGGACATGTGCCATCTGCTTCCCCTGCCAGACATTTCCCCACTTCTCCATAGTCCTGAGTAACCCTTGATCACTTTGGTTTTAGGATTACTTCCATGCAGGATCAGGCAGAACCATGCTCCTCCAGTAACAAGTGCTCCATCCCCTACCTGCCATATCTTGCACATAAGATAGTAAGGCCTGCTAACAGGCAAAGTGAGAAAGAGGGCATCTGTGTTCATGCTCTCTGAGAACTGCAAGGTCATGGAGAAACCATGCCACCTAGGCTAGCAGAGTACTTTCTAATATATTAGCTAATAGGCACACATCCACTTGGGCAGCTGTGATATCTTTTTATCAGAGCCTTTGTGCTCCTGGCCATCTTCCCATCGATATGACTTTAAAATGCATCAAAACCCATGTTAGCTTGCTCCTTAAAGTATTTATAATTCATGTCAAGAGGGCCTGCTGACAATCAGAGCATACCTTCCCATTCATTGAACCTGACTTTGTGCCAGGTTCTGCCCTATGCTGATGCTCTACAGGTGGTGTCTCCTTTGATCTGGCTACAACCTTACCAGGTGGGGGTATTACCTTAATTTTCAGATGAAGAAACAGGCTTGAAGTTCAGTGGCTGACCCAGCAGTGGACCCCAGAGCTCAGGTGCTTCCCACTCCACCAGATCCTCTCTTGTTGGAGAGCTTTTCATGTAACCATGAACTGCTACTTCCCCATTGCAGGCATGCACTGTCTAATTGTCCAGTCATAACAGAAGACAACTAGCTAAGAAGGACTGATTGACAGCTTGTCTCACAAGTGTCTCCATGTGTTTGTTCCTTGTCAGGAGTTATCCCATTGCCTTCTGCCAGCCTTAGTTTCCTACCTGCATTCTACAAGCTTGGAGTAGACCACTGTGCTCAGGAGTGCAGGTGAGGGTCTGACTATATCTTGACTTGGGTGGCATGTCCAACCTCAGCAGTGTGTCTCAAAACCAGAGGAAAGTGGCTCAACATCCCATCAACTGCAACTCTTTCTATTTCTGGGAATTCTTTCTGGCTGGACCCTGTTTGCTATTTCCTTCTTTTTTAGCATACTATTCTTATGATCAAAAGGCAGCTGGGGTTGTGGATCAGCAGTAGAGCATTTGCCTAGCACGTGTGAGGTACTGAGTTTCATCCTCAGCACCACTTAAAAATAAATAAATAAAATAAAGGTATTGTGTCCAACTACAACTAAAATTATATATATATATAATTATTCATACACACACACACACATATATACATATATATGAAGGCAGCATAGCAAGGCAGTTAAGAGCAAGGGCTACATTTCCCAGGTTTTGGAGTGCTGGCTCTATCACAAGCTATGTGACCTTTACTTCTCTGTGCCTCAATGACCTCATTTGTAAAATGGATATGATAATAATAGAACCTACCTCATAGGGTTGCTATAAAGATTGATTATGTAAGTACCTTGGTACATCTATCAGTGTTTTCTATTCTTAGACAAATAAATAGAAATGAAGCAAAGCAAGCTCCTGCTTCCTCCCCTTCTAGTCCCAATCTGCATGCTCAGGGGAGGACCTTCAGTGGCCATACTCACTTTTCCTTGTCAGTCCAGACTGTCCTGGGCCCACAGGGTGAGTTTCACCAAGAACCAGCCTCTTGACTGGGTATGGAATCACAACCATCAGCACATGGACTGGCCTCCTGGACTCAGACTCTTCTGTTTCTTTGGGGAGTAAGAGCAGAACGTACTGCTGGGCGCAGTGGTGCACTCCTATAATCCCAGCAACTTGGGAGGCAGAGGGAGGAGGACCACAAGTTCAAAACGAGGCTCAGCAACTTAGCAAGACCCTATCTCAAATTTTCAAAAAACGGCTTGGGGTGTGTGGCTTAGTGGTTAAGCACCCCTGGGTTCAATCCCCACCCACCACCACCAAAAAAAAAAAAAAGAGGGAAGGGGGAATATTCTGAATCTAGAATTATAAGTTCTCAACTAGATACTGGCTCTGTGACCTTGAGAATATGTCTACACTATTTCAAGACTTAGTTTTCTCTAAGTCTATCGTCATTTTATCTAAAATTTCTAATTATTTAATTATTAATCATTATCTAATAACTTTCCATGGTTATTGTATGGACTATTAACTGAGGAAAGAGGTTTTCCTGTAACAGCAACTAACATCACCATGATTAATACCCAAATTGCACTCAATCTTTCAGCAATCTTCTGAAGTAGACATTGCTATATTGCTATTTCCCCCATTTTACATAGGAAAAAACTGCAGCTCAGAGGAGATAAGGTTTTTCTAAAGTTATACAGTGAGAAAAGGCAGTGCAGGATCTGAGCCCAGCCCGATTCCAGAGGCAGTGAGTTCTCTTAACCACCATGGATATGAAAGAACTTTATATGCTAAAACTGCCTAGGAGTAACAATAAGAAGGATAAATACTCACTGAACATTTATATGCCAAGAATTATTCAAAGAGCTTTACGTTCACTTAGCCTTTACAATCCTCTGGAATTGGTCCTAGTATTGTTCCCATTCTGTAGATGAGGAAAATTGATGCACAAATGTTAAATAACTTGTTTAGGATCACAGAACTGCCTAGTGGCAGAGATGCAGTTCAAACCCCGGTGGCCCAGCTTTTAGTCCCTCCCCCACCCCTTTTCCCCTGATCACCATCATATTCATGGAAGAATATGTGGATTCTGAGAGGCACAGGAAGTTGCAAATCAAAATGCCCAAACC